AAAGGGAGAGAGGGAGGTGGTGGTAAAAGAAAGGGAGAGAGGGAGGTAAAAGAAAGGGAGGGAGGTAAAGAAGGGAGAGAGAGAGAGGGGAGGTAAAAGGGAATTACGTAGTTAGGAAAATAAAAGGAGAGAGAGAGAGAGAGATGGATAAATAAATTAGAGAATGAGAGAGAGAGAGAGAGAGAGAGGGGGGGGAGGTAGGCCAGTTATCCCATTTCTCCCTGAGCGTATTACGGAAGTTAAGTCTCTCAACAGAAGAGCTAAGAAACACAATATCACCTTGACAACATTTCCTCGATCACACAGTTAACTAGTTCACCTGACGTCTTTACACTGTCCTTGGTATCATTTTTTGTTCTCTCTCTCTCTCCAGTTCTCCTTCCTCCTCCTGCCTCTCTCCTCAGTGTTCCTCCACTAACCTACCTCCTTCCTCCTCCTCCTGCTTTAGTTCTCTTTCCCTCCCTTTCTCTCAAACTTCTCTCCATTTTTGTGTGTGGTGAAAGAAGGTCGGAGGAAGGGAATTAATAGTTCGGAAACTGAAGAAATTTAAGAGGAGGCGGGTTAACCTGATGGCCGCCTTGCTACGGGTTAGGTTAGGTTAGTTTTAGTCAATAGTGTGTTAAAGTTGTGTCCTGGGTTAGTTATTGGGGGGTGGTTTTCTTAAGAGCTGGTTTCTGGTTGGCTGGTCGCTACTATGTCGGCACAGGCACTAGACATCCTATTCCGTCATATATAATATTTCTTGTCTCCATCCCTGGCCTCTCCATCCTATCTCCTTCTCCCTGACACCTCCCTATCCCTTCCCCCTCCCCTCTCCCCTCCCTTCATCCCTTTCTTCCCTACAGGAGAGAGCCTTAAGCAGTAGGGTCTTCTCCTCACGGCACACATTATATTATCCTCTTTGATGGTGTGGTGAAGAGGAGGAGTTTTATTATTTTTAGAGAGAGAGAGAGAGAGAGAGAGAGAGAGAGAGAGAGAGAGAGAGAGAGAGAGTAGTAGTAGTAGTAGTAGTAGTAGTACGGTAATCTTTCATCTCCATAGTGTTAACATTATCGTCTGGAGTTTGAAGTAATATTATTTTACTCATAAGAATTAAAGGACATGGTAACCTCTCGTCCCTCCCTCGTGTGACGTAATCAAGAGTTTGTTTACATCAGTCGTGTTTTTCATTATTTTTTGTGGGGTTGGAATGTTTTTATATCAGACTTGAAACTTTTAATACAGCAGAGTTTATAAACATTATTATCTATACGTTCACTGCCTAATAATATTTAGTATGATGTCATCAGTGGCCAGGGTATGTCACGCTGTAGATTTTTTTAATTTAAAAATGGAGTTTTTAAATACCACTACCATTACCCCATCACCATCCCACCCCACCACGACTCCCCACCACCACTCACCATCACCACCACCCCACCACCCACCACGACTCACCATACCCCCACCACGACTCCCACCACCCACCACCACTCACCATCTCATCACCACCACCCCACCACTCACCATCACCACCCCACCACGACTCACCATCACCACCACCCACCACCACTCACCATCACCACCACTCACCATTACCACCCCACCACCACTCACCATTACCACCCACCACCCTCCACCTCCCCACCACCTCACCACCACCCCACCACGACTCACCATCACCACCACCCCACCACCACTCACCATCACCACCACCCACCACTCACCACCACCCACCGACTCACCATCACCACCCCACCCCACCACTCACCATCACCACCCCCACCACTCACCATCACCACCACCCCACCACCACTCACCATCACCACCAATCCCCACCTCTCTTTCATCACCATCACCACCACCCACCACCACTCACCATCACCACCCCACCCCACCACCCTCACCATCACACACCCACCACCACTCACCATCACCACCACTCATCACCACCACACCACCAACCACCTCTCTTTCATCACCATCACCCCACCACCACTCACCATCACCACCCCACCACCACTCACCATCACCCACCCCACCACCACTCACCATCACCACCCCCACCCCACCACCACTCACCATCACCACCACCAACCACCTCTCTTTCATCACCATCACCACCACACATCACCACCACTCACCATCACCACCCCACCACCACTCACCACCACACCACCAACCACCTCTCTTTCATCACCATCACCCTCCAGTATTAGTTTTGTCAGCACCATCAACATTGGTTCACTTACACTGTGAGCCACTACGCCTGCCTGACCTACAATAGCGTCTCTCTCACCTCGGGTTGACTCGTAAATAACCCACATGGCAGAATTTGAGTGGTGGTGGGCTGTGGTCGCTCTCTGTACCCCGTCTGCATCCTGTTATGTCAAAAAAAAACTAACAACTTTACTTAAAAAAATACCAATTCATATTTTTTTTCGTATTGTAAAACGTCTGGATACTGAGGTGTAATTTTTTTTTAAACTATTTATAAGGAGAAATCCACGATAAGTTAAGAGGCAATTCGTAAGAGCAAGACGTAAGGCTGAATCAGTGAAAATGTGATGAAAAGGCGACAGGATTTGATTTACAGCGACAACAAATGAGAAATTGGGCTTGAGGACAAAACAAGGTGTGTTTATACAGGTGCTGGTACATTGGTGCAAGGCATTGGTGCAACACACTGGTGCAACACACTGGTACAACACACTGGTACAACACACTGGTATAATACTCTTGTGCATTTGGTACAGAACGCAGATTTTGATAGTTGTTTATTTTATTTTGACCTCTCTCTCTCTCTCTCTCTCTCTCTCTCTCTCTCTCTCTCTCTCTCTCTCTTTTGGTCAGTGACTTTTTTGCAAACACGAACATCCTCCAGCAGACAGGGAGAGCAGCCCTGGGAACAGCAGACGGGTCTACCCACACATTACCGGGCTGATCGAATATTCCGTGGAGAGGAAACCGCTTTCTTGCTATCGTGTTTTGTGCTTTCTCTCTCTCTCTATCTCTCTCATAATTCCTCTATTTCGTGAATACAAAATTCCCAAACCTACATTTTTTTTCTTTTTCACACTCACTCGTTAAAAAGACTACTCAGTACACGGAGTAATACAATCTAAATTAATTAGTTCCCGTTGTTATGGTAAAAACATTACACTAATTACTGTGGCCTGGTTGCTGCTGTGCTTTTAGTTATCTACACCAGAGTACTCACGTCAAAGTGGACAAATTAGAAGTTTTGTTTTGAGCACTGAGAGACAAGAAGAGAAAGTTTTACGGTTTAAATGTTTTGAGAAAGAGGATGTAGAGAAAGTTTTACGGTTTAAATGTTGTTTTGGGCAGAGGAAGTAGAGAAAGTTTTACAGTGGGAATGTTTTGAGCACCGAGAAACAAGCAAGAAAGTATTACAGTTGAAATATTATTGTTATGAACACTTCGTGACAAACAAACGAAAGCCTTTCTTTTTTTCTTTTTTTTATACATAAGCTGGCTACTTTTTAATTTAAGCTGACTACCAAATAAATCTTTCCCCGATCAGTTCATCAATCCAATTTCTTTAACCATCAGATCAACACGAATATTAATTATTAAGCAATGGTGATCAGATTTATCATTGTGACAGTGGTATGAGATATTAACGACAATTACCCAACCTGTTGCTTATCTGATAATGAGTTAAAGTCTTGTCAGTTAAAATATGCATCAAGAACTTACAATATTATCAGCTATTTCGCTTTGCCATCCTTCATACATATATACTCGCTCTATATATATATTTAACTCAGAATAATATTGTAGTTTGTTTATTAATCTCGTATACTAATATAATTAAGGCGTTTACAGGTGTATTGCGCAGGTAAGTATTATTGTATCACATGGATATTAGCCATCCCACACTTTATTTTACATGATTAAATACCCTAACGCTGCCTGGGGGGTATATTACAAAAGCCGAGGCTGTTGAAATAGTTTAGGATCAATGGCGTAAATCGTGTGGTCAAATAAACTGGGGGGTAAAATCTTCAGGTGATCCTTATTGTTAATGATGAATGTTATTTTCACTTGCCTTTATTATAGTGTGTGTGTGTGTGTGTGTGTGTGTGTGTGTGTGTGAAGACCATAAATGCCTGTCCTGAGCTGCTGTTGTGGTTCCTGCAGAAACACCTGATGCACTTGATTATCGAGTTGTTCAGGTCACCACGAGATATACAGTGTGATTATTTTTCTTGGAAGTCCTGATATGGCTGGTACACACACACACACACGTTAAATTACGTAGTGAAGAAAGTCGAGTTGTGGTGGTCGTGCGGTGACATACATACATACATACATACATACATACATACATACATACATACATACATACATACATACACTGAAAGAACAGCAATCACTTCTGCCTTATACGTATTTAGCAGATCAAACACTACCCAGGTGATGTAAACATTCTCACCTGACCACTAATTAATGTCCGGTAAGTGATAGCCCAGGTAGGTACACACGATCAAAAAAGCATCTGTACACATAGCACGAAACAATGTGACACCACAGACCAAAGATAATGATAACAAGAAAATTTATTAATCTTGTGAACAATGTATCGCGTTGTTCATTTTGGTAGTTTGGTTAGGTTAGGTCGCGGCATAGGTGTATTGATCAGGGAATCACCATACCTAATGCGGACTTAACCTATGTTGATAATATTAGGTTTAATTTTAATCTGCATCTTATTCTGAGAGCAATATATTAGTGCCATTACTGTTTACAAGCCTTTCGTCTACCTCCCAAGGGCAATATCAATCAGCTAGGGGTTCAAAGACTTGTCATAAAGATGATTTTTGTTTTTCCTCCGTAATTCCCACTTAATGTTCCTGTGGCAGAAGAGGCAATGAAGCTTATCAAGGAGGTATGTAAGAAGTCAAAGAGTGGTTAGTCTGATTCTCTGATAACAGCGATAAGATAAACCCGAACATGTAGTGAGGTGTTAGCATATAATTAGTAGTTGGGTTTGTTCGTTCATGGCAAATCATTCAGTGCAGCGGTGAGCACAATTCGCTGCTTGTTGTGTGTGTGTGTGTGTGTGTGTGTAATACTAGTTGACTGAAGACACGAGGAATATTCACTGGTATAGAATCAATTCGTCTCGGGTGGAACAAGTCAAACTGGAAAATAAATAGTAAGAAAATTAACAACTGTTGACCCACTTGGACTGGATCCCAACTAAGTGTAAACACGGTCAAGTGAATCACCGCCGTGCCTCCCTCTCTCCTGCATGTGGGACTTGTCCAACACGACACGCCACCCACACTATCCGTTTCCAGGTGTTCAGTTGGCATCACCTTTACCTGTACATCATTACCATTGTATTAGATCGATGATAGATTACCTTCAGCAACACATGAACACCTGAGACCTAGGACCATTTAAAACTATAAGTGGATTGTTTGTATAGATACCATGACGAGACTGGTATGGTTCAGCGCCCTCTACACCATAGGTAAGATGTTAAACCTTTGTTGTGTTTATTTAATGGTCATTTTTTTTACTCGTACAGTCACTTAAAAAATAGTATAACACAACGGACGAAGGATTTTGACAACCCTACCGACACAACAGGAGTCGCAGTGTTCATTCTGGAATTCATTGGCCTCCCCCCCCCTCGCCAAGAATAGATAGACTTAAGAACATAAGAATGGAGGAAACTGCAGCGGGCCTATTGGCCCATACTGGGCAGTCCCGTTTACACCCAACCCCTATTGTTCATATAAGCATCCAACCTATGTTTGAAGCTATTCAGCGTATTCGAGTTAATGATGATATTTGGTAACTTGTTCCATTCATCCACTACTCTGTTTCCAAACCAGTGTTTACCTATTTCACTTTCGAGTAACTGTACGTTCCTCGTGCCAATTTCAACATGTATAAAGCCTATGTATAACGTTAATTATGTATAATTATCCGATTAAACTTTAAACGCTAAATTAGGGGAAGTTCTTGATTTACCCGTACAACTAAGTGCAAATTTCTTCGTATATATTAAAACACATTATATTTTTAAAGCGTTAATTACTCTTAGCACACACCGCACTATGAATTAAGATAGATGTGTAATAAGACCCCATAATTATGACTAGTTTAAACTCCTGGGGAAAAAATATAAATTATCTGTTAATACGAGTTTTTTATGCATCATTGAACACCACACGAAGAATTTATATACCAAGGTCGACTCTCCAATCAGGTTTATCGTTGTAATGCCGACATGTAGTGTACAGCTGCGAACCAAATCCTCTGGACATTGGTCAGAAACTTAAAATACGGGATCGGATTTTTTATACTTATTTCCTCAGATTTTACGATTTGTTTTGGTGTGGTTGTGATATAATATGTAATGAACTGTAATGTACTTACCTGTGTAATGTACTCCCCTGTATGTACTAACTGTTAGTTCGACCTACTAATGGTTTTACTTTGTTTCATGGTAGATAGAGAGGTAAAATCCTTAATAATAACCATGTTTTAATGATGAGTTTTACCATTTTCTTAACATAAGTTGCGTTCCCATTGATGTGATTAAATTTATGATCCATTTAGTATTAGTTTTGTATCGATGTTATTGTTTTTCATCAAGGTATCGTAGGTCTGATGATGATATATGAAATAGTGTTGAAACTTTACCGAATATATTGTTGTTTATTCAGTTATCGAGAAAGAAAGTCTATTTTTTTATACTGTAATAACGTTTTTAAATCTGGATAATATTTTTCGATAACCTTATATTATATAACTAACCTGGATATTGATAACAGCATTTTTGGTAAGACTTCTACTGATATCTAAGAGTGTTGCCGCTTAGTGGGATAATAATATGTTTTCGTGTCCAAACTTTTACCAAAATGTAATTGTAAACTCTTAGATATCTGACAATGAGCGTGTAACGTCACTTGTTCGAAGCGGGCCAATTTATTAGTGATGGGAAATTTGTGTTTGTAATGCTTTTTATTAATACTAGATTGTCCTATTTATCTCCAGTTGTTATTACTCTATGCATTTATATCATCTAAATTAAGGGAATTCATTTGCTTAATTCTAATGAGTTTTGGCAATTTTCATATAGTGGGAAGAGACACGGTGTATATGATGCTAATACACTTTATTATTATTATTATTGTTGTTGTTGTTGTTGTTGTTGTTGTTGTTGTTGTTGTTGTTGTTGTTGTTGTTGTTGTTGTTGTTGTTGTTGTTGTTGTTGTTGTTGTTGTTGTTGTTGTTGTTGTTGTTGTTGTTGTTGTTGTTGTTGTTGTTGTTGTTGTTGTTGTTGTTGTTGTTGTTGTTGTTGTTGTTGTTGTTGTTGTTGTTGTTGTTGTTGTTGTTGTTGTTGTTGTTGTTGTTGTTGTTGTTGTTGTTGTTGTTGTTGTTGTTGTTGTTGTTGTTGTTGTTGTTGTTGTTGTTGTTGTTGTTGTTGTTGTTGTTGTTGTTGTTGTTGTTGTTGTTGTTGTTGTTGTTGTTGTTGTTGTTGTTGTTTGTTGTTGTTGTTTTCGTTGTTGTTATTGTTATTGTTGTTGTTGTTCTTTGACTAACAAAAATGAAAAAGTTATTTACAATGTTTATGCTCGTTATACACATCAATAATGACCATATATTTTGGCACCTAGGGGTATGTGGGGGGGGGGTGTGTCACCTAACTCGAGTGTAGTGAAGGGGAGGTGTGGTGGGGGCGTCACCTAACCCCTGTGTAGTGTAGTAATTAGTATATGTTATTTAGCGTCTAGAATCCCACTGATTACCTTCCTTAATTAATTTACAGGTGTTTTGGTGATGGTAGTGTCCCCGATAGATTTTACTGCTGATGTCACTACCTCTGCTGACGCTTCCACTGATGTCACTACCTCTGCTGATGCTTCTACTGATGTCACTACCATTGTTGATGCTCCTAGTGATGTCATTACCACTGCTGACGCTTCTACTGATGTCACTACTACTGCTGATGCTCCCACTGATGTTACTACAATTGCTGATGCTCCCACTGACGTCACTACCATTGCTGATGTTCCCACTGACGTCACTACCACTGCTGACGCTTCTACTGCTGACAACACTACCACTGCTGACGCTCCTACTGCTGACGACACTATACCTACCCTCATGCACATTACCTTAAACACTTCCACTACCACTGAAGTTACCACTACCACTCAACCTTCCACTACCCTTTCCACTACCACTACCCCTTACACTACCACTGAAGATCCCACTACCCCTTACGATACCACTACCACTGAAGTTACCACTACCACTGAAGTTACCACTACCACTCAACCTTCCACTACCGTTACCACTGAAGATACCACTACCACTGAAGATCCCACTACCACTACCCCTTACGATACCACTACCACTGAAGTTACCACTACCACTCAACCTTCCACTACCACTCAACCTTCCACTACCACTCAACCTTCCACTACCACTCAACCTTCCACTACCGTTACCACTGAAGATACCACTACCCCTTACACTACCACTACCACTGAAGATCCCACTACCACTACCCCTTACGATACCACTACCACTGTTACCAGTTACCACTACCACTCAACCTTCCACTACCTGAAGTTACCACTACCACTCAACCTTCCACTACCGTTACCACTGAATATACCACTACTACTGAAAGATTTGAACCACTTCACCCTATCCTACAGAGTCCTTCACCATGGACGTTGACAGCAAGTTGGGATCATCGAGGTACGTGTGTGTGTGTGTGTGTGTGTGTGTGTGTGTGTGTGTGTAATAATAATAATAATAATAATTGACGGTTTATTGAAAAAGTTCTGCAGCCCGAAGGCTGAAAATATACATTGGACATAAATGACTTATTACATACATTGGTGGTTTAACAAAAGCCTTCATTAGAGAAAGGTAAAGGAACATACAGTGAACATACAGATTATTGTAGGTGTTGAACAGCAAACTCGTAGTGTAGTAACTCCCTCCCAGATGGTGTTATGAGGGACCTCACGTGGTGTAGTAGTTCCCTCACAGATGGTGTTATGAGGGGCCTCACGTGGTGTAGTAATTCCCTCACAAATGGTGTTATGAGGGGCCTCACGGTGTAGGAATTCCCTCACAGATGGTGTTATGAGGGGCCTGACGTGGTGTAGTAATTCCCTCACCCCCCCCAGGGGCCTGACGTGTGTAGTAATTCCCTCACAGATGGTGTTATGGGGCCTCACGTGGTGTAGTAATTCCTCACAGATGGTGTTACTCACAGATGGTGTTATGAGGGGCCTCACGTGGTGTAGTAATTCCCTCACAGATGGTGTGTGTGTGTGTGTGTGTGTGTGTGTGTGTGTGTGTGTGTGTGTGTGTGAAATAAACTGTTGATTATCTCCTCTATCTCTTGTTCTCTCCATTATTGTGTATCTCTTTTTCTCTCTCCCCTTAGATCATAAGACTATCCTCTCGTGTTCTCTCCTCTCTTTTGTTCTCTCCTCTACCTCTCTCTTGTTCTCTCCTCTATCTCTCTCCATTATCTCTCGTTCTCCACCTCCCCAGATCATAGCACCATCCTGTATCTCCTCATATTCTCTTTTGTTCTCTCTCTTGTTCTCTCCATTATCTCTCGTTCTCTCCCCTCAAATCTAGACATGGGCCCGTTCACATACTGCTGGAGTTGGAACTCGCACAAAGTATATGAGGAGACTCCCGCTACACAAACGAACTCAACTGTACCAAGTGGGGTGGTCATCGTCTTCTCGGTTCAACGACTGCTTGGCATATCTAAGTCAGAAGTAGAGGCTTATATCCCCTGTAAGTAACCAAGTGTCAGGATTTTGTTAAGTGGGCTGTGTATATTATTAGTTGAGTTTATGAATATTTATGGAACGTTATTGGGTTATTAACTTTAACCTAACCAAATGTAACTTAACATTAATCTAACCTAACCTAACTTTAACCTAACCTAAGGCACCTACTGTATGTTGATAGTTTGGGTTCATCTCCTACAGGGCAGCTACACTTTGAGGCCACCTCCACCTCGGTGCTGGTGGAGTGGGCGCAAGAAGAAAATGTCTCTCGGGTCTGTTATTATAGTCCAGGTATGTATGGTGAGATTTTGACGGTGACGGGTAATTTTTTTTTTTTTTTAGTTCGTCAAAAATATTGTTAATATTTTCAGTATATAAAACTTTGTTATTTTAATGGTGTTTACATGTAATAGTGAAAGTATTGAGTGTTGATACTATTATTAATATTTGTTCTTTTTTTACATTATTATTAAATCAGTTTTTTTATAATTAGTAATACAGTGATTAATCTCGTGACAGATGGTGTACAGTGTGATACAGGGATGGGATTCGATCGGCCATATTCCATCATCAATAACACATTGATGAAGCAGGTGCAGAATTGTACAGTCTTTCAAGAGACATATCAGGTTAACTTACTGATGAATTACCAGCCTACTGAAGGTGAGTCTCGTTGATGCTGGACAGAGAGAGAGAGAGGAGGGGAGATGGGAGAGAGAGATGAGAGACAAAAAGAGGAGGTGAGAGATGGGAGACAATAGATAGAAAAAGAGAGAGATAAAATGTTAATAATTTTCTATTATCAGAAGTTTTCGAGGACATATTCTCTCTGATTCTCCCTCTGTCCTTCTTTCTCTCACTCTCTTACATTATCTCTACCCAAAAGTTCCTTACTGACCATTGTAACTAGTGCCAATGTTATCATCCTTTTAGCCAGGTAACATTTAATTTAACGACGACTCGTGTCAGATAAGACGGCAGGTGACATAATGATCTCAAGGACTAATCTGCACTGATAGGGGAGTTAAACGTGTGGTAATAAGACGGCAGGTGACATAATGATCTCAAGGACTAATCTGCACTGATAGGGGAGTTAAACAAGGATTAGTGTGGTAATGGGTGATTGGTTGTGTGGTTCAGGATTAACTTGAAGTGCTCTTAGATGTGTTTGTTGATGGAGCCAAACACTTAAACCACTTTAGGATTTACAAAGATCATCAAGAGTTAGATTTTAGTGAGATTTTCAGAGAATTTGCAGCATTTAGCTACATCTCTGTGCTTCCTCTCCGGCTGTACAGATAACTACGTTAGTTTGGCGTGGCGCTGCAACGACGAGAAGGCGTGTGGGGACAAGGGGCATTGTTTCCCCGCCACCGAGAGCCTTGTGCATCCGAATTCCGACCATGTGCATCCGAATTCCGACCATGTGCCTGCGTTCTACCCTTACACCTGCCGCTGCCTCGACGATTCCTGCCTCCCCAACCCTGAAGGTGACCTGTCTTGTGTTGATGTGGGTGAACGGGTTATGATGAGTACATACATAAATCCATTCATACATTCATTCATCCATTTGACTTCACACTGTGGTTCTTATACTCCACATGTGTTCACTACTCCACTCTTTCCTCCACTAGACATAACGGTACCAACCTCATCTGAGCTAAGTGTGGATGAAGGATACCTCGTCATCGCCCACGCTGACTTCTCCACTTACAAGACCTCGTCGTACACGTCCCTCTCCTCCACCCCGACGTGTACCCTCCCGACGGCTCTGGCCATCCTCAAATACTGGTAAATTCTTAATGCTGTTCATCCAATGACTGATTAAGCAAGGCTACAGAACAAGTTATCATCAACTACTACAAAAAATTTCATGAGAGTTTTCTTGACAAGAAATAATATATCAATTGTAGTTTTCCTAGATTATACTCTCTCTCTCTCTCTCTCTCTCTCTCTCTCATAATACACAAGTCATCCGAGTTAATTATCAATTCACCTGCTCACTAATTCCGGTTTTGTGTGTCAGGTGTGATGGTAAACGTAAGTGTCACATCGAGTATGAGCGCCTTCTGAGCTACCTACAGGATCATGTGTGTCACCGTAACACTGACGTCGACGACTTTATCCTGACAGTGCGGCAAAATGCTGTCAAAGGCTTCTTTAAATGTCGGGAAGGAATGCAACTTTACAACAATACTTGCTTTGGCTACGGGACTCCTGATGACATCGACTTTGACACTGGTCGCTATTCCTGTCTTTTGATGGGAGGAGATCTTGCTTATTACATTATTAATACACAGTTCTTGGATATGTGGGAAGAGGAGTGGTGGACGCTGGGTGTTGAGTCAGAGGCACGACCACAGAAGTTGTTTACCTGGACAGTTGATCAGGCTTACGTCTCGGGTGATAGATACTTCCACTGTGGTAACAACTGTACCAACAGCACCAGGCGAGCTCTGTGTGCCCTGCCACCTTTGGACATCTCTATAAAGAACCATAATACCTCCCTTCCTTTACCTGATAATACTCCATGCCGGTCTGGACCCTGCATGAACGGTGCTACGTGTCTGCCAGCCTCTGAGGGACTCGGTCTGGCCAGCCAAACGTTCAACAGCTTCATGTGTCGCTGCCCGCCAGAATACTCGGGCCTTTACTGCGAGCGTCACTATGGTCAGTATAGTAATTCCTTAATGCTGTTATTAATGTATCATTGTATACTGTGTTAATTACTGATGTCGATAAGTACATAACTGCCAAATATATTCTCTATTCTTCTTGTATTTGTAAAGTAAACCATGCATGAATGTAGTTAGAAAGTACAACAATAACATGGAGACCAAACTCATAGACTTAATAGTATATTATTCCCTCCAACAGAAGGTGTCTGCGAGGAGTTGATCTCTCCTTCAGACGATGAGTACAGGTTCTCGACGGGGAACGCCTCTCTGGTGTGGGTGGTGGAGTTTGCTTACTTCGGTCACAACTCCTCAATGCATGATCACTTCCTAGGGTGTTACTCCCCTTCAGCTGTCACTCTTTTACGTCTGAGGTGGGTCTTATCTTGAAGCGTCCACATGTTATCTTGAACCGGGTACATGTTGTCTTCCTCCTGCTTGTTGTCTTCCTCCTGCTTGTTGTCTTCCTCCTGCTTGTTGTCTTCCTCCTGCTTGTTGTCTTCCTCCTGCTTGTTGTCTTCCTCCTGCTTGTTGTCTTCCTCCTGCTTGTTGTCTTCCTCCTGCTTGTTATCTTCCTCTCCCAATTGTTATATTTTTCTCTTGTGTGTTAACTTTCTCCTGTTATCTTCTTCACACGTTATCGTTCTTTGTCTACGTCATAAAAAAAACATCAAAATATCGTTAGAAAATTCTCAGAATTTAAATAAAAAAAGTAGCAGTTAAATTCCACGAACGAAAAAGAGCAAGAGAATTTCCCCAATAGCTGAAGAGGGTATTGAGAATTTTCCCTAGAAGAACAGTTGTGGAATTTCCCTAAATATTTTCGCTAAAAGAATCTCAGGTACTATAAGGTAAACATAATCAACATATCTTTTCATCCTGCTGTAGGTGTGATGGACAGACAAACTGCATCGTACTGAAGGAGGACCTACATCACCATCTACCTTCGTCCTGTCACCCAGTCGTCACTCCACACCTTAGCGTCCGTCTTGCTGTTCGCTCCGTCAGTATTCATCCCCCCGCCTCTCCCCAGGCTATGTCGTAGGTCCTAATAGATCTTTAGGGAGGCATTAAAGTGACATGGGAATATATAGATCACTATTTATCCTGAGTAACGAGAGCCGATAAAGTGTTTCAACCCCGTACCAATTGTTTAGGTGAAGAGGGTGAATTAAGCCAGAATCAATCCTACCGTGTCATACCTCTGGAGATGAAGAAACTAATGTTAACTGAATAGAAAAGTTATACGTGTTGTTTTTGACTCTGGTCGTGTTAATCATCAGAAAAGATGTATAATATTACTGTGTTTTTCAGGTTGATGATGAGTTGACGTGTCCTCAGAATGGAACACTCGTTAATTTACCTTTTCGACACACCAGGACCTGCCTACTCATCTCTGACACCTTCTACAACGACTTCCAGAAAGCCAAACTAGACTGTAACACTCAGGGAGGAGATTTGGCTAAGTATTACATACACTATGACGAGTACCCAAGCATCTGTACACATGACGGCGACTCATTTTGGACAGAACACCAGCAAGAGGTCGGCAGTCCCGATTTTACTGTGTATGTTAGATATCCTTCTTTATACACCTGTAAGCCTGTGCTAGAAGATGCTATTGAAGATTACAGTCCTGCGCTTTGTGAAATTCCGGTGATAAGAGAATTTCCCATACCATCTACTATCACGACAACGACCCCCACAATGACGACCCCCACAATGACGACCCCCACAATGACGACCCCCACAATGACGACCCCCACAATGACGACGACCCCCACAACCCACAACGACGACCCCCACAACCACTACTACCACAACGACGACCCCCACAACGACGACCCCCACACCCATTCACATCACACCTTGTCCATCGGAGTTCCCATTCCCTGATGTGTATCCGAAATACATCTGGAACGAAACGAAACCGGGAAAGACTCGGAAACAGCCCTGCCCAGGTGATAGCAGTGGATCTCCATTGGCCAGCTGGACCTGCGGGTCAGATGGTCATTGGGTCGGACTACCAGACCTCAGGTAAGATAAAGGTTCATTAGACTCAGTTAGAAATGGTCTGAATCTGGAGGTTTTTCCATCTATCTTTTGTTTTACTTAGAGTTCGAATTAACTTCCTGCGTTGGATTAGTTATGAGTTACGTGACTGTGTTGTTTTAGGTAACTAGTAATGATTTAGTGTTTTCCCTGTTTTATCTCTATCTCGCACTAATAGCCACTGAACCACAATCTCCCTTGTCTTGTCACTGCCCTACAAGAGGAAAGTATAACCCAATATTCCTGTCACTGCCCCACGAGAGTAACCAGTGTCCGTGTGTCTCAGTGCGTGTAGTAAAGTGGACGTCAGTGATTGGGAAGACGAGCTGAGCAACAACTCCACCAACAACACGGCTGGTGACACTCTGACCAACTTCGTCGCCAACACTACCTCTGTCACTCTGGATCCAGGCGAGTTGTAATTCTCTCTCTCTCTCTCTTTTTTCCCCATGTTCTCTGCCTATTTATCTCCTTCCTTCTTTCTTCCTCCTTTGTTGTTTTAATCAGTTACTCTTTCTCTGATATTCTTTTTCTTTGTCCCTCTACTGTGTGAGTGTGTGTGTTCAATGTTCATCATAAAATAATCATAACTAATACAACTAATTCTCTTTCTTCCCTTAACCTGACCACTTGAAATCGATCTCCATTAACTTGATCTTTATTGACTTGACATCACCTAAATTGACTCCGTTTATATAGACATCTGTTCAGCAGCTCAACCTAACCTAACCTACAGGAGACGTCCCCAAGATGCTCGACCTTCTGGGCGGTGCACAGGATCGCCACAAGAAGGACATTGATGAACTGGAGGATCCTGAACAAGTCCTTAACATAACGAAGGTTTATGCGGATGCTGTTTCCCAGGTCACTAATAAGCTTCTGAAGGATACACAGGTGAGGGAGGATGGTGAAGGAGGGAGAAGGAATGTGTGTGTGTGTGAGATAGGGGAGGAAGAAGAGAGAGAGTAGGTGTGGGGAAGGAAGGAAGGAAGGAGGAAGGGAATGGGTGTGAGGGAGCAAAAAGGGAGGGAGGCAGTTGTAGGGGAAGGAAGGAGAAGAAGTAATATATTAGGAGAATGTATATCCCCTCCTCCACCCCTCCCCCCTCCCTCCACCCAATCCCCCCCTCCACCCAATCCCCCTCCACCCAATCCCCCACCCCATCCTCCACCCTCCTCCCTCCCCTCCTCCTCCTCCTCCCTCCCTCCACCTGACCTAATGCCCAACACCATGACCTTCTCTCCTCTCACAGGTATGGTTTGGCTTACCTGAAGAGTTTCGTCACGGGAACAGCAGCCTCATGCAGGAACAACTAGAGATAGCCAACGTGGGCATGGCTGTCCTGTTAAGCAATGAGACCCAAATCTTTGCGTATGATAAAGTAGGTGAGTTGCTTTAACCCCAGTGATCGGGATTTTATTATCTAGTGTAAAGTGAAAGAAGTTCTTGGTGTATATTCCATCATGTGCTAAAACACTTGTCTTCGAGGTCATGAGTCCAGTGCACATCTCAGCTGCATATTGTAGATGTAGTGGAATGATATTGGCATCATATTGGATTTTAAGCTCTGTCCTTAATTCCTATCAGTGCCAAAGGTCACTCTTAAGGTGCCACAGTGGAGGGTCACAACAACAAATATGGCTTACCAACATATGGCACCCCTTCTGGGCACCTCAAGGGAAGGTGGGCCCAGGAAATCACTTGTTCCCTCGCTATCTGTTGGTAAATGGAGAGGAAAACAAAAATAAATAGGCGTTTGAGCTACATTATAGAAAGATGCAGCGTGGTAACAACAGCCTGGTGGTGGACGGTAGTGTACAAAGAAAAATCATCGATCCTTACCAGTGTGTTTCAACCTCGATACTAAGCCAAAAAAACTGACGAAAATCATAATATTGCTTTATTTTGTTTACTTTTTTGTATTAAATTTGTAATAATCTTCCTTTAATTCATCTTTCAAGTTAAAGTAAGAGATTAAATGAAGGATTGAGAGATATAAGCGATCCACAGAAGTTAAGTGCTGTGTTCCTATCTACATTGTAACACTGGGGCCCTACACACAATCCTGTCTTCCTAACTCTCTCAATATCACACTTAGCATTACTCCCTTGTTTTACCAGGCATTACACTACTTAAACTATACCACACTACACTGCGCTACACTACACTGTACTACACTGAACGTCACTAAACTACACTGTACTACATTACACTATACCACACTACACTGTACTACACTACACGTCACTAAACTACACTGTATTACACCACACGACACTACACTACACGTCACTAAACTACACTGTACTACATTACACTGTACTACACTACACTGCGCTACACTACACTGCACAATTAATTAATGGTTATGGGAGGTACTATAATGTTGCTGTTGTAATAGAAACATTCGCTCAAACTCCACGAAAATATCTAAGGCGTTATTTATATTTATTTATTTGTTTATTTGTCTATTTTACATACCCGATACCTGTGTGTATACCTGTTGGACATCTTCAGGTAAACTAGAATAAAACTAATTAAGTCGTGTATTGACAGGTGTGAGGGCTGAAAGGTTCGATAGACAGCATTACCAAGTACCTGAAAATCGTGTCTTCACTCATATTGATGTGAGTATTACCTGTCTGTCTGTCTGTCTGTCTGAGTAGCTTTATATCTGGTTGTCTGTTTCTTTGTTTGCTTGTCTTTATATATATATATATATATATATATATATATATCTCACTTATTTTTTCCTCAGTTTCCCTTCATTTTTCATTTGTCTCTCTCTCTCTCTCTCTCTCTCTCTCTCTCTCTCTCTCAGTAATACAGTCAGTAGTAACAGCCTCTCCTTGCAGCACGACAATAACAACAAGATAGAACTGCCTGAAGGGTTTGCGACCTCTCTTCCTGAAGATGATCAAGTGGCCATAACTTTTACCTCCTTCAATAGCCTCCACTGTGTTCTCGGCCAAGGGATCGTCTGGTAAGGTTAGGTTAGGGTATGTTAGGTTAGGTTAGGGTATGTTAGGTTAGGTTAGGTTAGGGTATGTTAGGTTAGGTTAGGGTATGTTAGGCTAGGTTAAGATAGATTATATTATGTTTCTTTAGGTTAGGTTTCCTTAGGTGAGGTTAGGGTAGGTTAGATTAGGATCGATTATTATACTTCGTTAGGTTAGGTTAAGAGTGATCAATCTTAAGACGAAATAAACAGGGAGGATTAATCTTCATTTAACCTTCAAGTTCTAATATTACTGAATCAAAGCTTTTTTACTGTTTATATCTAAGTTATTTATCAACGAGTCTTTTAGCCTTAATGGTACTTTGCTAATGTGGTGATGACTGGAAGGTTAGGAGATAGATGGGTGTAGTTGGCTAATGGTACCTGGATGGTGGCTAATGGTACCTGGATGGTGGCTAATGGTACCTGGATGGTGGCTAATGGTACTTGGATGGTGGCTAATGGTACTTGGATGGTGGCTAATGGTACCTGAATGGTGGCTAATGGTACTTGGATGGTGGCTTATGGTACCTGGATGGTGATTAATGGTACTTGGATGGTGGCTAATGGTACTTGGATGGTGGCTAATGGTGGTTGGATGGTGGCTAATGGTACTTGGATGGTGGCTAATGGTACCTGGATGGTGGCTAATGGTACTTGGATGGGGTGGCTAATGGTACTTGGATGGTGGCTAATGGTACCTGGATGGTGGCCTAATGGTGGCTAATGGTAATGGTGTGCTTGGATGGTGGCTAATGGTACTGGATGGTGGCTAATGGTGCTTGGATGGTGGCTAATGGTACCTGGATGGTGGCTAAAACCTTGGATGGTGGCTAATGGTACCTGGATGGTGGCTAATGGTACCTGGATGGTGGCTAATGGTACCTGGATGGTGGCTAATGGTACCTGGATGGTGGCTAATGGTATTTGGATGGTGGCTAATGGTACCTGGATGGTGGCTAATGGTACCTGGTTGGTGGCTAATGGTACCTGAATGGTGGCTAATGGTACCTGGATGGCAAGATATAGAGAAGTTTGCTTATGAGATGGAGAGAGAGAGAGATGACCATAGGTAGATATATGGTCGATGAGGAGATGAAGGTTGTGGATAAGAGTAGTAGTAATAGTAGTAGTAATAGTAGTAATAGAACACTTAATATTGGGTTTTCCATAGTTTTCTTGACCTATTTTTTGTACTTCCATCCTTCGCCTTGTGACTTAAGTGATCCAGTTGACCTGACGGAGAAGATAGTGGTGAAGTACCCTTTGAGAGGGGTAGTCAATAGTTACATGATGGGTCTGACTGTTGGCAACACCTCCTGGGTTCCACCTCCTAGCGTAGACAACAACACCGACGTCACCATCACTTTTCAACATCTCTTCTCAGGCGAACAGTGAGTTGTGTGTGTGTATATATATATCTGTGTGTGTATATATCTGTGTGTATATATATTTGTGTGTATATATATCTGTGTGCGTGTGTCTGTAAGAGTATACATAGAAGTGTGAATGTATTTGTTGCGTTATGAATTTAAGTGTAACCGATCGCCTTCTAGATCATTGTTACCCCATAAGTCTTAACAGAGACATCTTTTGTTTTGATCTAAATGGCTAAATCAAGAGTCTATTATTTATTTTCTCTCATAATATAACTGTACAATATTGATCTGTGGTATAACTTTTGCTTCACGTTCAGTCTGTCTTGAGAAGTGTGTGTGTGTGTGTGTGTGTGTGTGTGTATAGTATTGTTAAAGATTACTCAGTATTCATAACCTTTCAACTTTGTGTTCTTCTTCTTTCTATTATCCCTCTCTTTTCTTCTTTTTCAATCTTACTTCTCATTTCTTATCTTTCTCCAACAGTCCCACCAATCAGTATATCTGTTTCACCCTTTTCTCATATAATTGTATATTTAATCATCAACAAAATGTGTTTGTTTACTTTCATCACCCTCTCTCAAGGTACGAGTTGAACAGAAGCACCGCCGAGTGTGTTTGGTGGGATGCAGATAACAACTCCTGGTCATCGTCGGGGTGTCGGTTCACCTACTTTAACTTAACCTTCAGCAAGTGTTCATGCAACCATCTCACTAACTTCGCCATCATCATGGACATCAATGGTGTGGTGAACCCAGATGATGTGAGTGTTAGGGAGAGGAAAGAAGGGAAGGGAGGGAGAAGGAATGGGGGAGGAAGAGATGAAGGGAGGAGGAGGAGGAGGAAATAGAAGGTAGGGGTAAGGAGACATACTTTATGGCTTCAACAGTATCACGTTCCACATAGACCCGGAAGACGTTGTAGGCTGTGAAATAGATCTTTCAAAGAGACAAATTTACTTGGGATCTTGTAATTAAAACTATCATTAAGATATTTACGAGGCATCACATATTCGTCTTTCATTAAAACAACTTTCATGTAGAAATTTTAACTTTATTATCCAGTTATTCCCAAAACCCCACAGGTCCTGCTGGGGTGGATTACCTGTTTAGGCTGTTCTCTATCGCTGGTGTGTCTGGCCGTGGCAATCGTCACACTTATAACACACAAACTGAAGTGCCAACGTTCAGCCTCTGCTAAAACAACCCGCATCATCCGTGTCAACATCTGCGCCTGTCTCTTCGTGTCCGAGGTGTGTGACTGTCTTTTTTCTGCTCACATTATCATCCACCTCAGTAATACTTAAAGTTTGTCCATCATCATCATCACCATCATTATTATTATCATTATTATTATTATTATTATTATTATTATTATTATTATTATTATTATTATTATTAATCATCCAATTAAACAACTGCTGCTGCCTGCTGGTGGTTAAGAATTATGTTTACCTATTTCATCCATGTTCACTGTTGAAACGGATGGAAAAATATTATGTATTTGAGAAATAACATAAGCTGTAATGTAAGATGTTGAGAGACATTAAACTAAGGATACTGTAGTTGGGTTCCCTGTAATCTAGGGGAAGAAAAAGTTTTTCTGGAAGGGAAAATAGGACTTTATTCCGGTCATAAAGAAGAGACGGTCTCATATATCTCTCTCTATCTGTCTGTCTCTCACTCACTCACTCTGACTCTCACTGTTGCAGGTGGTGCTACTGGCGGGGCTGGACAAGACGGAGAATGAGGCCGGATGCGCCGTGGTGGCTGGGTTCCTCCACTACTTCCTCCTCGCTTACTTCTTCTGGATGGGTGTGGAGGGCGTCAATGTCTACTTCCTCTTAGTGCGGGTCAGTGTCTGCCTGGGAGTGTGTGTAGTGCCTGTTTGTGTCTACTGTATGTGCCTTTGTGAAGCTGTTTACATGTAAGATAAAAATGCACATCTACCCCCCTTACAAGACCAAGATTTTGTTCTTACCTGTGACTTCACATCTCCGCCACTCGCCCACAGGTGTTCCAGACATCGAGGTCACCCCTACGGTATTACTTGGCGTCGGGGTACGGCCTCCCTGCGTTGATTGTGGCTATATCAGCAGGTGTGAGGTACAATGGCTACGGTACCAAGACTTTGTGAGTATCTGCTGCAGTATTGTTCAGTCCACTAAGGAGAACTGAATATATATATTGGGTGTCTCAGAAAAATGTATACACAAGTGAGGACAAAGTTGCTACTCTGTTCCAAGAATTCGTGCAATTACCTCAAAAAACTGTGTGGCACTATGTATACGTTTTTCTGAGGTGCTGTGGATGGCATGTTGATCCTACTAGTAATAGGAGAATATAATTATATATTTACTGTCTTTTCTCTACATTTACGTTCCCAAAATTGCTATGACGTTATGTAATCTTGTTGTTTTATCTCAATCAGTTAATGGAATTTTTATTCATCATATCTTGCTGTCAGTTTAACTATCAACACATCTTTAATCTGGAAAGTCTTTGTAATGAACCATCATAATTATTCGCTTAGGAGGACATTTCGTTGGACAAAAATAATACAATAATATACCTTCAATTGACAGATAATATCAACATGTTTGCATTAAATTTCACAGCTGTTGGCTAGACCCCAACTACCATGGCCTTATCTGGGCATTCTCAGGACCTGCTCTATGTATCCTGCTGGTGAGTATCCCCTTCAGTATGACTCCTTAGGATAGGAAAGTTACTTGAAGTGGGTTGTCATGCCTCAGATGAATGAATTAACATCCATCTTAGTCATTGATCAGTGAGCGTTTATAATTCTTCCTTTCGTGAGTGAAGTTGACTGTGTTTTGTCTTCCCATTAAACAGTAGTATTACCTGACCCATCCCGCCACAGGTAAACGTGGTCATGTTCACGCTGGGGATGAGAGTATTGTTGCGGCAGCGTCCTGGTGAGCCTAGCAGAAACAAAAAGGAGGCGAGGCAAAGGAAGAAGCAGCTGTTGAAAAGCTCTTTCACCTTGGCCACCCTGATGGGCCTCACCTGGCTCACTGGTTACCTCTATGTCTCTAAAGGTGAGTCATTAAACCAGCTGCTGCTGCTAGAGATGTAACAGCTAATTTGCTATTGGAGACCTGTCGTACTAAAATTCAAAACAATGGCTAAAAAGATATCATGATGAACATATAGCATAATAATTACAGCTATAGATATCACTGTACGAAGAAACTTGACTTTGGGGGCAGATTCTGAAAGTTTTCTTCGCCAAATAAACCTCAAATTGAAGATATGTTAATGCAACTAACTGACTCACTTCAGTAGCAGTACAGGTATAAATATGATGGGCAAAATAACATTGGAAATCCATTGCGAGTCTTTCGCTTACAAAGGAGTTTTATTATTCTCAGTTAAATTTAAACAATCTGATTTCTGGGATCTCAGAGGACCCATATGTCATGTTGTTGCAGGTAGTGAGGCGCTGGAGGTGCTGTTTACCTTGGTGGCGTCGCTTCAGGGAGTGGTGCTGTTCCTGGTGCTGGTGATTCTGCCGCCCCTCCCACGAGCCCACTTAGTCTCCCTCGCTACCTGTGAAGTCTTGAAGGTAGGTGACACTCCTCTTGTATCAAACAGTAATTTACAAATGCTCAGGCAGTCGCAGATACCCTTGTACTGTACATAGATTATCGTAAATTTACATACACACACACACACGCACACACACACGCACACACGCACACACACACACACACACACACACACACACACACACAGTGACCGACGCCAAGCTGTACGCTTCCGAGGGGCTGTCTCCACCTTTCAGTCACTCACCTGTGGCGTCCCCAAGGCACCAAGATGGGACCACTCTGCTTCCTTATGCTCATCAATGATGCCCTAAGAGAAGCCCCTGCTCGCTGGAAATATGTCGACGACTCCACCATTGGGATCAGCGTCAACAATTCCGCTCCCAACTATACCGCCCTTCAGGATTTATTGAACAGTCTCCAAAACTGGGCCACCAACAACCATGTCACCATCAACCATACCAAGACAATGGTTATGCACATCACCCTCTCCTCCGACATTGTCCCACCTCCTTCCATTACCCTAGGTCCGAACACACTCCAGGTTGTAGATTCCACGAAGCTCCTCGGCGTCACCATAGACAACAAACTAAATTGGAAACCACACGTCAGTGAAGTTATCAAATCCTCCAGTTTCCGTCTCCACCTCCTCCGCCGACTCAAGTCCCTCGGAGTTCCTGCACACGAGCTCCTCAGTGTATACACAACATTCATACTTCCCAAGCTCACCTATGCCTCCCCCACCTGGTCTTCCTCCCTAAATGCCACACAACGTAAACACCTAGAAAAAGTGCAAAAGAGGGCATGCAAGATTATTCTCTCCCCTTCCTACTCCACATATCAAGAAGCGCTCAACACACTGACCCTTTCGACTCTCACTGACCATCACCACGGCCTCATCTGCAAATTTGGTAAGAAGCTTCTACACCATCCCCGACACCGGCCCCTACTACCACCTGAGATCCCCTGTCCGAGAATTGCTGTTCGACACCACAACCGCATCCAGCCCATACGTGCACGAACTGATCGCTATAAGAACAGCCCAGTCCCAACCATTGTAAAGATTATCAATAACATGTAATAAATCAGTGTATTCACTCCCAGTAAACACTGCTCCCTACACTGTCACTATGTTGAAATGAACTGTATTTTGAGCTGATCCCCATCTAAGTTACTATATGTCTTATTTGTGTCACTTATGTCACTTGTATATTATTTGTAATTCGTAACCCATTCCCCAAATATGTAACTGTATATTTTCAGCCTTCTGGCTGCCAAGCTCTTTCAATAAACCGTTAATTATTATTATTATTATTATTATTACACACACACACACACACAGTCTCTTATTCTTCTTTTACCATCACAGGAAACTCAACGCCGAAAGAAGAGTTTGGCCACGGGATTCACCATGGACTACAGCTCGGAGAGTATCCCTATTAACCCTCGAGGCTCTTCCGAATTGGACATATCTGTGGCTCGAGATATACAGGACCGCCAGGTGATCCAGAACCCACCTAGCTGTGGTGGTGAGGACCAGCAGATCATCTTTACCGTGAAGGTGCCCATCACCCCTCGAGGTTCTTCCGAGTTGGATATTCATGTGGCCAGGGACTGTAAGAACAATAAGTCCAGCGATCGCCAGGGCGGGCAGTACCGTATAGAGTCCAGTGATCGCCAGGACAGGCAGTACCTCAGATAACCCAGGGATCGCCAGAACAGGCAGTACCACAGGGAACCTAATAATCGCCAGGACAGGCAGTATCATAGAGAGCCCAGTGATCGCCAGGGCTCGCCATACCGTAGAGAGCCCAGTGATCGCCAGGGCTCTCCACACCGTAGAGAGCCCAGTGATCGCCAGGGCTCACCACACCGTAGAGAGCCCAGTGATCGCCAGGGCTCGCCATACCGTAGAGAGCCCAGTGATCGCCAGGGCTCGCCATACCGTAGAGAGCCCAGGGCTCGCCTGGGCTCGCCATACCGTAGAGAGCCCAGTGATCGCCTGGGCTCGCCATACCGTAGAGAGCCCAGTGATCGCCAGGGTTCGCCATACCGTAGAGAGCCCAGGGCTCGCCTGGGCTCGCCATACCGTAGAGAGCCCAGTGATCGCCAGGGCTCGCCATACCGTAGAGAGCCCAGTGATCGCCAGGGCTCGCCAGACCGCAGAGAGCCCAGTGATCGCCAGGGCTCGCCATACCGTAGAGAGCCCAGTGATCGCCTGGGCTCGCCAGACCGCAGAGAGCCCAGTGATCGCCAGGGCTCGCCATACCATAGAGAACCCAGTGATCGCCAGGGCTCGCCATACCGTAGAGAGCCCAGTGATCGCCAGGGCTCGCCATACCGTAGAGAGCCCAGTGATCGCCAGGGTGGTCACATCAAATGGGGCAACACAGATCAACACAATGATGCACTTATCAGGAGACGATGACCCACAGTGTTATCATCATCTTGAGAATTATGTATATTATTATTATTATTATTATTATTATTAGTGTTAGTATTATTATTATTATTATTATTATTATTATTATTATTGTGATATTCTTAAAGGTTCCTACCTATTGTATGATAAGTTCTCCACTCCTTTGTGATAACGTTAAGTATATTTATAATGGTTGCCCCTCGTAATCGAGTATGGCTGGCTCTACGGCCACCTAGGCGTGAATTTGTTTAAGGTGTAGAAGCTGTTGCCAACACAACAACCACACCGTGAGTTAACGAGCTGCATGACCTGGTGTCGAGGAATAGTCTGAGAAGACCGGACAACTCGCTAATTGCACTGGCTAACCATTACCCCGGAATACGATCCGCAAATCGATTAACATCCAGGTCACCAATTACTGTTGGGTAGACAGAGGCAACAATGTTAAGTACTGTTTATCACTCGGCTGACGATGTTATAAAGGAGTGTTGCGTTTGTTGTCTGGGGTTGGGTAAAATGTATTAAGCTCGCTGGCGTTAACTCCACTATTATCGAGTTATGTAGTGATGCAGACCATGTGAATGATGAGTTACGGAGTAGGTGCTAATAAACACTTGTATAGTGATGTTAATTTGTTAGATGTTACTTATATAAACCTGTTAATTTGTTAGTTGTTACTTGTATAAACATGTTAATTTCACCACTGCCATAATACACATGTGTTCACTCATGAAGGTGAACAATAGCGAGAGAACTAATGTACTTTAATGGATTAATTCTTCAAATCAGGTATAGTTAAAAAATATTGTGTCTGACTAGTGGGCGCCTTGCTGAAGAAATTAGACGACACTTGCTGGATCTCTGTGAGCTTAATGTTTGAGGAAAATATAGTTACAGTATTAATGCTGACTCCTTCGTCAGTGATAACATAGCCTACATTAATATTAGGAAGCATTTTTGTCCTGAATTGTCAAGTTTATTTGGTAAAAAAAAAAAAAATAATAATAATTTTAGAGCAATTTACTTTTTTATTTTAACAATTAAATCTAAGCAAAGATGACAAACTCTTACTGTCAGACGTGTAAATATATTTTGGATATATGTAATTCAATAATCCAACTGTAAATAATAATAATATGCCTTGTGATTACTCAATGGCAATATCTGTAAATCACTAGTGAACAAATTTATTTATGTACAGTATTTATTATTACAATACTTCTACAGATTATCACAATAACTGGAGTTTTATATAAAGAAATTATTCATCTCCCCATTGTTTCAAAGTTAAGAAAATTACCCAAAATGACCCAAGTTATATAACAGATCAACTCATGCTCCAAATTATTTACGGTAAATTCCAGTCTGTCAAGGGTGAGAGAACAGAGAGGGAGATAAGACAGAAATTTATCCAACTGAGGAGATGAACCAGAAATTAATCCATCAACTGAGGAGATGAACCAGAAATTAATCCATCAACTGAGGAGATGAACCAGAAATTAATCCATCAACTGAGGAGATGAACCAGAAATTAATCCACCAACTGAGGAGATGAACCAGAAATTAATCCATCAACTGAGGAGATGAACCAGAAATTAATCCATCAACTGAGGAGATGAACCAGAAATTAATCCATCAACTGAGGACATGATCCAGGCATTGGTAAGCCTCTGATCCACTCCTTGAACGTCAGGGTTAGTATACTTCTTTGGTTTACACTTTAGATTCGCCCACACCCTGGCCCACACTCTGGTCCACACCCTAGCCCACACCCTGGTCCACACCCTAGCCTAAACCCTAGCCTAAACCCTAGCCTAAACCCTAGCCTACATCCTGTCATCCTAGTCTACGCTTTAGCTCACATCCTCGAGGTTGCTACTGAAATAGGATTAATTAATAGGAAATGAGGGAGTGACTACATCGGTGTGAGAGGACTCCTTTGACCAGGCAGTAGTGAGACCCAGCTGCCTAAATCCCTTAATCCTCTCTGAATCCCTTAATCCTTCCTATATCCCATAATCCTCCCTAAAATTCTTATCCTTAAATCTTAGAATTCTTAATCCCATAAACCTTCCTAATATCCTAATCATTTCTTAAAGTTCTTATCCCTTTAAATCCCCGATCCCTTAAACCTTCTTAAATCCCTAATCTCATCCCCTAACTCCCTTAAATTTCCTAAAGTTATAAAAAATAAATCCTAAATCCCAGAAAAAAATATATTAAAAAATCTTAAAATTCACTTAACTTCCATCTTCCTTCGCCCTCTTCCTCCTACTCCTCTCCTCCTTCCTCCACTGCCAAGGCCACATTATAAAGCAATACAAGAGTAGGAATTTTTCGTAGGTATTAGCCACTCTGAGAACCAAATGAAATCCTTTGATATTTCCTAAAAACCTAGGGAGGTGGGGGGAGAGTTAAAGGGAAAGAATATTTTGCCTCTTTTTTTTTTCTTAAATCCGTTTCGGTAAAGATGAAAATAATACAGAAATTGATGTATTAGGATGTGAGTGATATAGAATGAGAAAGGTAGAGAAAGAATGATCGCGTGAGAAAGATATATATAGGTTGTGGAAGATAGAATGAGAGATAATGTGTGAGACTTTTTACCTGTGATGGTGTAATGCATCAAAGGTTCTGGAGCCTTGATTAGTGGCGTAGTTCTTCACCTGTGGCACCTTTGGACTCTGGAGCTAAAGGAGGTTTAAAGTAAGACCTTTTTTTCAGAGTGACAGGATAGATAGCAGATAAGGGAGGGAGAGAAGGTGAGGGTGGATAGCAGAGAAGAAAGAGAGGGATAGATTGCAGAGAAAGGAGAGAGAAGAAAGAGGGTGGATAGCAGAGAAGGAAGGAGGGAGAGAAGAAAGAGAGGGATAGATAGCAGAGAAAGGAGAGAGAAGAAAGAGGGGTGGGATAGCAGAGATGAAGGAGGGAGAGAAGAAAGAGAGGGATAGATAGCAGAGAAAGGAGAGAGAAGAAAGAGGGTGGATAGCAGAGAAGAAAGAGGGAGGATAGCAGAGAAAGGAGAGAAGATGGATAGGCAGAGAAGGAAGGGAGGGGAGAAAAGAAAAGAGAGGGTGGAGGCAGAGAAGAAAAACAGCAGACAGAAGAGGAAGGAGGGAGGGAGAAGAGGAGCAAGGAACCACAAGACGAGGAAGTGGGTATAAGAGAAGAGAGGGAGAAAGATAGAGCGAGAGATAGATAGGTGAATAGAGACATAGACATATAGATAGAGAGACATAGATGGCAGAGAAGAGAGAAAATGAGGGGTCGAGAGAGGATAAAAACCACTAAAAAAGAGAAAATAAGAAAATTCAATAAAACCTACAAGTGAAGGAGAGAGGGAGGAGGAAGAGGGGAAGAAGGGATGTGAAAATACAACGGGCACCTATAACATGAAGGAAGCGAAATTCTGAAAGCTGGAGAATAATACATGGAGATAGTGGAGTGAAGCCGCGACTATGGTTAAAAGGGAAGGAGAGGGTGAGGTTGAGAGGGGCCAAGTGAGGGGAAGAGGCGAGGCGGAGAGGGCTGGTGAGGGGAAGAGGTAAGGAGGTTGAGAGGGCTATGGGGGAAGAGGTGGAGGCGGAGAGGGCTATGAGGGGAGGTTGAGAGGACCATGGGGGGGAAGTGAGGTGAGGCTGAGAGGGGCCATGGGGGAAGCAGGTGAGGCTGAGAGGCCATGGGGGAAAGAGGTGAGGCTGAGAGGGCCATGGGGGGGAAGAGGTGAGGTTGAGAGGGCCATGAGGGGAGTGCTGAGAGACCATGGGGGGAAGAGGCGAGGTTGAGAGGGCCATGAGGGGAAGAGGTGGAGGTTGGAGAGGGCCATGGGGAAGAGGCGAGGTTGAGAGGGCCAAGTGAGGGAAGAGGCGAGTAAGCTGAGAGGGCTATGGGGGGAAGAGGCGAGGTTGGAGAGGCCATGGGGAAAAGAGGCGAGGGAGAGGGCCAAGTGAGGGGAAGAGGTGAGGTTGAGAGGGCCATGAGGGGGAAGAGGTGGGAGGTTGGAGAGGCCATGGGGGAAGAGGAGAAGGAGAGGGCTATGAGGGGAGGTTGAGAGGACCATGGGGGGAAGAGGGAGGAAGGAGAGGCTATGAGGGGAGGTTGGAGAGACCATGGGGGGGAAGAGGTGAGGCTGAGAGGGCTATGGGGGGGAAGAGGTGAAAGGAGAGGCCATGGGGGGAAGAGGTGAGGCTGGAGGCCAAGTGAGGGGAGGCTGAGAGGACCATGGGGGAAGAGGTGGAGGATTGAGAGGCCAGAGGAGGTTGAGAGGACCATGGGGGGAAGAGGTGAGGTTTGAGAGACTATGGGGGGAAGAGGCGAGGTTGAGAGGGCCATGGGGGAAGAGGCGAGGTTGAGAGGGCCATGGGGGGGGGAGGAGGCTGGAGAGGGCCATGGGGGGAAGAGGGAAGGAGAGGGCCATGTAAAGAGGCAGAGGCTGGAGGGCCATGGGGGGGAAGAGGTGAGGTTGAGAGGGCCATGGGGGAAGAGGTGAGGCTGAGAGGCCATGAGGGGAAAGAGGTGAGGTTGGAGAGGGCCATGCGGGGAAGAGGCGAGGCTGAGAGGGCCATGAGGGGAAGAGGGAGGCTGAGAGGGCTGGTGAGGGGAAGAGGCGAGGTTGGGAGAGGCCAAGTGGGGGGAAGAGGCGAGGCTGAGAGGGGCCATGAGGGAAGAGGGGAGGCTGAGAGGGCCACGAGGGGAAGAGGCGAGAAGGAGAGGTGGCTGCGGGGGGGGAAGAGGTGCGAGGTTGAGAGGGCCATGGGGAAGAGGTGAGGCTGAGAGGCCATGGGGGGCAAGAGGCGAGGCTGGGAGGGGCCACGAGGGAAGAGGCGATTTTGGAGAGGGCCATGGGGGGAAGAGGCGAGGTTGGGAGAGGGCCACGAGGGGAAGAGGCGATTTTGGAGAGTGGGCCATGAGGGGAAGAGGGCGAGGTTGAGAGGGGCCAAGGGGAAGAGGCGATTTTGGAGAGGGCCATGGGGGAAGAGGCGAGGTTGAGAGGGCTGCGAGGAGAAGAGGCGAGGAAGCGAGGTGGCTATGGGGAAGAGGCGAGGCTGAGAGGGCCATGGGGGAAGAGGCGAGTAAGGAGAGGGCTATGGGGGGAAGAGGTGAGGCTGAGAGGGCTACGAGGGGAAGAGGCGAGGTTGAGAGGGGCTACGAGGGAAGAGGCGAGGAAGGAGAGGCTAACAGGGAAGAGGCGATTTTGGAGAGGCCAAGTGAGTGATGTGAGGGCCATGCAATGGTGGTGCAAGAGGCCATGAGTAAATGCAGGAGTGAGAAGGTCGGTGAGAATGAGGGGAGAAGGAAGAGGGGGGGCGCCTGGCACAATTTGATATGGAGGGAGGAATAGTGCCTCATGGAGTGAAATCCACCTTCTAGCGGCACCTTTCTGAGTCTACTACACCAATAGTGGCCGGGCGTAGGGGGGTGTTGTGTACGTGGGTGGGCGTAGGTAGGAGACTGAGTAATGTGTGTGTGTATATATCGTGTAACAAGTATGATTAGTTCGTATTTGGGTGTTCGTATAGGTGGTGTAGTGATCATAAATGCGGTGTGTATTCGCTCATGTATATATAATTTTGCAGTTAGACTTCATTATATAATCATTAGTTTACACAACTCTTATCCTCGCCAAAAGTCTGGGCCGGTGTCGTCCTTGGCAGTTGAGTACATGTCCAGTCTGTCACAACAATTAATATGTACTGTACGTGACCGCGTACTTGGCGAATGACTGAACTAGGTAACTGCCTGTAAGGTGTTTTGGCGGAATTGGACGCGGACAGCCCACTCGAATGTGACGTCACGCCGCCGTTTACTTTTGATTGGCTGGTCTCAGGTAAGGTAACTGCCTGTAAGGTGTTTTGGCGGAATTGGACGCGGACAGCCCACTCGAATGTGACGTCACGCCGCCGTTTACTTTTGATTGGCTGGTCTCAGGTAAGCGGTAGTCAGTCGGATTTTTTACCACCCGGAGGACGGACGCCATCTCCACCTACTCCCAGGCCAGATGGATATTTTCTAATTACGAAGGTGTGTCAATGTCCTCCTCAACAAGTTCTTCTTTAACACGTTCCTAGTCACTTTATTTTCCTGTCATTTGTTAAATTTAGCAAGTGTTTTGATGTGTTATCGGGGTAAGTGTTGTTCCGTTGGGTCACAGGATATGCCCCCTTGTAAACCAACTCCAGCCTCTCATAAATATCCGGAATTTTCTCGAGCGCTAAATTAACTTCCAAGACTGGCGCTGTGTTGATCAAGAGAGTAGCCCTAGTCTATCAGATCTGTTCCACAAAATTCAAGTTAATTTTTGTGTTTACTTAAGATCATTTTTTTAATCATTCAAATGTTAAGATAAATGGTGGTTAGGGTAGTAAAGGTTGCGAGTTAGACAACTAGAGAAATTTAAAGGGCAATATCCCCTTCGTCCATATAAATTATTGTATATTTTTTTAAAAGTATATAAATGTATTCATACATGTTAGAATTATCTTAAACCTATGGAATATTTGGCTGTGGTTGGTGGATGTAGGAGTTTGTTTAATATGACCTTCAATAAAAGCCACCGTCAGTAAACAAAGCTGGAGAATAGTTAATGTTACAGTAATACTACGACTAAAGAGTTTATCAATCATTTTATAGTTATTAGGCAAATTATTAAATTTTAACGAGGTATAATTATAAGAAAATAATTTTAATAAGGTCAAGATAAGTTTGGATGACTGGTATAATAAATAGGTTTAGTGTGTCGGTCGTGGTACATCTCTAACACCGCCATACTGTAGACAAACTTTGACGTGTTAACTATTGAGCTGAGGAGGTTGAGGGGCGTCCATATATAATATAGCCATAATTGCATGTGTCATAGGTAATATATTGTACAGTTTTATTCTCTGATATGTAAAAGATATAACACTCTCTGATATGTGTCCGTAAGTTACATAAACAAGCTTTGGAGGAGTCTTAGGTCAAGGAAATATTTTCTTAAACTCAATTTGTATTTAACTAACACGATCCTTTAACCTGTATTTTCATAAATAATACCAATCTTTTCCTTGCAATTGTAATAGCCGCGATTACCTGATGGCATGGTAGTTCTGTTGTTATCATTTAATTTAATACCAGTTGTACAGATGGATGCCTTTCCTATTGCCAATTTAATTTTCCAGCGTGGGAAGTGTGTGTGTTATGTAATACTTCCAAGTTTAAAGATGATCCACCTACCTAACTTAACTAAACCATATTTTAAGATTACTGTATCAGGTTAGGTTAGGTTAGGGTTGGTTGCTCATCTGGTCCACTTTATAAGATGGTTTTTATTATTTGTTCTGGTAATACTTGAGGACACTTCCACAGGTAAACCGCATGTTTTATAATAGTTTAATGTTAAAGGCAATGCCGTACTTACATTAGGATTGAAAAGAGTGATGAGGGATTTAAATTTGTCATTTTGGTAATTTTTTATCAATATAATACTTGTTGGCTGCAGCTGTGTAAAACAAAGAGTACTTGAACACCAGACAAACCCTTATAAACCTCACCTAACATATACAAATCTTAAAACTATAAAGCATTTTTTGTAGTTCTAGGGTTTTTATAAGTTAGGTGAGGTTGAACGAACTGACAGGTTGCTGGGAAGTGTTTATCAGTATATAAAGCGTCGCATATGGCATTAACTGGATATGGTGGATGGAAGTCCAGTTATCACAAGATCTCCGAAAAACAAAAATATGAAATTTGTAGTTCCTCATAATTACCGTATTTGTGATTTTCTTGAGGTGAGAAAGAATTTGTCTTCAGAACAAAACCATTGAAAAGATGATGATTTACCTCCACAAATGTCCTAACGTATTAGTTATGTGTACCTGGTACCTTTTCACCAAAAGTTAGATTTGGAAATCTGAAATTTAAGATTGTTGTAAAATAGAAATCACAAATATTTAGTCTGTGATGTTTAAGACAACATCAGATATGGAGTTTAAGTCTTTAATAATGCCTGAAAAAAATTTGATAGAACTGTACGGCAGGAACACCAACATTAGTTATTATTTTGTTTAAAGAAGATTTGTTACAGTGGACCAGATCTTTCAAGAATCACTTTTGGATGAGAACTTTTATTCTTACAAGGACTCGGGTTGGGATGTGAAATCCTAGGTAGCTGATGTTAGACAAGAAAGTTATATATGTATGTTGCTGTAGTACCAAGACCCACTCAACCTTTTCAGGGATATTTTTGGATGTTGAGAGTTCAAACCTGGATTAAAGTCCATTCACCTGATGATATATTAAATCAGGTTTCCATATTGACTAGGTTAGGTTAAGTGAGGTGGTTCCCAGGAAATGAAAATTTTTCCCATACAAATAAAAGTTCACGGATTTTAATTTTGCAGTTATCGACAGGAACTTAATGTTGCTGAATAATGGGACCTTACTGTATTCATTACTAGCACTGTACTTGATTGATCATTTATCTTCTAGATATGGGCTCATCATCTGAAGATGATGGCCACTTGGTTGTGAAGGAGGAAGAAGTCGGAGACGACCTCGGCGATGACATGGATCTCTGGGACTCACACGCCCGCAGATCTGCCTTTTCTCCCTATAGGGTAACCTTAAATTTGAAATTTTTGTGTAGTATAAAAGGAAAATGTATTTTTTTTATGTAAATACTGTACAGTACTGGCATTATCTCTTTAATAGGCTATTTATTTCTTTAAATGGCTTCATTTCCATGACAGACAAAGTTTACAAGAATATAAAACTGCATAAATATACTGTATATTGTCCTGTTTTAAGCACTCCCTTCAGTGTTGACCTCGACTCTGCTTCATAAATATTTAAATAGAGGAAAGAATACACTTAAAATTTAAACTCTTTTGATTATACTGTACAGTATATGTTTACTGTAATGGTGGTGTTCACTGATGTATTCTTCTACTGATCAGATGTGTTGAAGATTATCAGGAATTTTTCAGTAGTTTGTGATTAGTGGCATCAGTGTTTTAATTAATAGTCTACAACCTCAGTCTGCTTCCTGCTGCTTATTGATATAAAATGATCTGTCATCTGCGTAGGGAAGAGTTGATATATTTTTAGACTGTCGTAGAAAAGTTTCTGATATTTTGTTGTTGCTTTGAGTATCTTGATCATAAATAGTAAACATGTTTTTTATTGACAGCCAGTAACTGTGTTGACAAACTTGCAACGTGGGAATATCCAAACCCAAACTACACAAGCTGAGCCAGATGACTTCACTCTTCACAACCGAGCAGCCATGGGGGAACTGTCTGCTGATGATCTGAGAGGTATGGCTGTTCTCTAGTGATTGTACTGTACTTTACATACTAAAAGAATTATCCGTACTGTATACAGTTCCGTAATATCTTCTCTGATTTATGCAGAATGTACAGTATGAGTCTAACCTGATACAGCAAGATTCAATTCTTTATTTTTGTCGGATACTATTTTTCTTAAAGCTAGGATAGAGTTCAAACTCTATCAAATAACATTTAAGACACAAATGTTTGGTGAACCTAAGTATTTGGCCAACCTACTACACATTCTGAAATAATTTTGCGTAGAAGTGATGATCCTTCACACCTTGAGGAGCCTAGAACAGTACGGGAATGTTCTTTAGCTGCCTGATACGTTTCCTATACATCAGCCAGGTGGTACAATTGGTTGCCTGCATCCATGAAGCAGCTGACTCTTGTGGAGGCCTTTAAGAAACAGCCTAAGACCTTTCTTTTTTTAAAGCTTATGATCCTGAACAAGTTACGGTGGTGGAGAATTACAAGGTTTGGGAAGTACAAGTATTAAAACTTTAAGGTATATGAATTATAGAACTTAAATTGTCACCTTTTGTGATCTTTTTTTGTACAGGTAGTACAGTACAGTTCTCTATTTCTTTTTATTTTCAAGTATTTGACTTTGTAGTGTGTCTAGTGCCAGTGAATTCTTTAGAAAACTGGTGCCGATAAGAAACAAAAGACCAGCGATTATGAGTTTCTAAGGTTGAAAATCGGGAGTATTTTCTGAGAGAATTTCAGAAAAATCTCCAATTTTTTTTTTACGGGACTGGGAGCAAGTTCCCAGGATGAAATAACACGTAATTCTGTGCATAAATAATATTAAATAAACACCAAAAGAGATACAATACTTTAGCAAGTGTAAACAAACATAAATAATACTCTACCATCTTTTTGCACAGAAAAACCATTGAGTCTTGAAGATATTATTCAGTTAAGTCAGAATATATGTACAGTACTGTTTAACAACTGTGTTCTAATGCTGAGTACAGGAGTTTGGGCGTGTGTCATGATGACTCGACTGGTGTTGTGTCAGGTGAGTTAGGCTGCAGCCTGTTGGCAGAGAAGCAACCTACCGTACTTTTATTCTTATTTTGTATTCTTGGCAATTTTCTGAGTATACTCTATAGAATGGCCCAGCTGGCAGCCTGTAGTGCAAGTAAGTTGAAAGAACTGCCTACTGTATCTTCATGCTCTGCCAGAGAAAATCATTTTGGGGTCAGTTCTCCTCTTGTATACATACGTATTTGCTACTGGAATTCTCGAGTTTACTGTTATTTTCCTCAGTTGATGAGGCACTATGCACAATTTTGTACTTGTACAATATCATGTTGTCTACTTTTGAATACATTACATAATCAGTACATTTTGTTTTCAGAAATTGATGTTGATGAAATGGACAGCAGTGGATTTGCACCAATTATGTGGGCAGCATACTATGGTCAGCTACCTACTGTGAGACTGCTCATCCAGAACAGGGCTAAAGTCAACATAGAGGTTGGGTTCCATAATTTAAATAATGAATGTATAATTGTGCTATACAGTATTTATGATTTAAAAGCTACAGTACATGATTATCTCATAATCTACTTGCACAATCAGTATCTAGTGACAGACCTCATTTGTCACCAGAAAGTGTCAAACAGTTACTCTTTCCAGCCTTAACCAGAGCCCGAGGGGTGTTCATAGAAACTGCTGTTAGTAAAAAATGGAGGGCTAATGAGTCATAGATGAATGTAACCTGTGCATGTACAGTACAGTATTACCATACTCTAGTACTCGGAAATTGGAATTCCTGGATACAACCGCTCTTAGCAGTGGCTTAGTGTCAGGAAGACCTGTTTACCCTGTCAGCTGTCAACTGGTTGTGTGTTGTCTTTCTTTTTTGTTTTATTGAGACAACGATCTTAAAATGTTTTTAAACTGTACGGCCACTATTATCAGGAGATCCATAAACTGTAAACCATTCTGTTAAGTCTGAATTTTTCATTAGAAAGAAGTTAATTGTGGTTAGTTTAGTTGTTCTTAACATTTTAAAATAGGCATTATTAATTTTAGTTTAAAATTAAACCATAAAAGGAAGGACATATATTATAGGTACATATTAATGCACAGTAGAATTGCTATACAGTATATGAGGTGCTGATATAAAGTGGAAAAGTAGATTTATTGTCAAATACTACAGCATGCCCTTCAAATTCACTGGGGTTAAGTTTTCAAAATGGACGCAAATCGCCAAATCCGCGAATAACATTGGCTGACCAGGGAGGTGCATTTTAC